AGAGAGAGAGAGAGAGAGAGAGAGAGAGAGAGAGAGAGAGAGAGAGAGAGAGAGAGAAGCAGTCGAAGAACATCAAGTACAAGGAAAAAGTAAGTGTTTTTCGCACTTTTGCAACAAACGTTTAAAAATTACAATGACGGGATTCTTCGTCTCTGACCACCACAGCACTAGACGACATTCACAGCCACAACACGAAATTGTGCACGTGGCGAGTGACCCTCCCCAACGGGGTCACCGCCGACCGGGAAAGACCAATGACGACCCGCCGCGTCCACGACAACCTGCCTACCAATACGACTAAAAGGGGAAGCCTGGTACTGACTAGTCGCCGACATCTCGGGAGGCCACAAACGCACAGCACACAGCCTACCAAATCGACTGCTCACAAATAGCCTTCGCTATTTCCAACAACGCGTGGCACATGAGTTTGTTGACTTCGCCCGACGCAGCATAGTGCTTCCTCTGCACTTCCACTTCGGCTTCCAACGCCTCACACTGCCGGACCTGGATGGAGCATTGCCGCTTGCTTGCACTCTCCATCGTCGACGCCATTAGCGCCCCGTGCTTCTCCATGCACTCTGTCAGCGCGTCGAAAGTTTGCTGCCTCGTGCTCTTCCTCTTCCCAAAATCGGCGGGGGCGCCCGTCGTCTGGGAAGAACCTCCCGTCGACCCCTCGTCGTCATCTTCTCGCCCCGCACCTCCATCCCCATCCGCCACTGATTCAGGATCCGCGTTCGACGTCGATGGCAGACGAACACCGCCAGAAGCACCAGTGTCTGAGACGTTCTTCGGGTGGATGGTGTGGTTCATCCCGGGCGACCCCTCTATCTCATCGTAAACAGCTCGATCCATAGTTAAATTGAAGCCCTTGCTGGCCCTCTCCTTGGACGACAACTGGAAGAAGTCACCCCCCCCGGACGGCGATTGAAAATGATGGACTTTCTTGAACTGCTGCATGAGATTGTCCCACTTCTTCCCGCATTTCTCGGCATCCCTGTCCACGCCCACGTTCTTCAATCTCTGAGCGACGTCTTGCCATTTCCATTCTCGCGGTTTCATTCGGGCGTACGCGTGGCCCATCCCCTGCATATGCGCATCTTGGTCACGTTTAGCCCTTATGAGGGCTATAATGTGTTCGACGGACCAGAAGTTGCGCTTCTCCTCCGCATCACCGTCGCCGTCGCCACCGCTCCCCTTTCCTTGGCCTTTCTTCGCCCGTGGACGACCATTGCGGCCGGAAGGCTTCGACTTCACCCATTACGAACCATGTCGCTTTGCAACGACGGCGACATGTAACCGCCCCTCCCCTCACCACCTTTTCCGTCGTTGTCGTCTTCGTTGTCGTCGTCTGCTTCCGGAGGTGGACTATCCTTTTCCTTCTCCCGGTCACCCACGCGAAGATGCTCCACCCCCCGTGTGATGGATTCCTCTCGCCGCGCCTGAAGCTCCCATCGGTGTTCCTTCCACACCTCCCTCGCGTCCCGACCATCACCAACGTCAAAGAAGTTCGTCTCGGCATCGATGCTACCGCCACGGGGGCAGGGCACTTCGGACGCCGCAGACAGGGGAGACGGCGACAGCATCCAGTGGGGCCGACCCTGGGCGGCCCTGGACAGAGAGGGCGCCCGTGCTTGCTGCGTCGACGAGTTCGGGTTCGCTCCCGTCGTTTCGCGCGCCAACGCCCTCGTGTTCGATGATCGGTCGACAACCGTCAATTGCCCGCCGTCGTCGTCGGGGTAGGGGTACACGAGGCCTTTGCGCGATGGAGTTGACGACCGCCCGGTGGACAGACCAAATGACAGGTTGACGCGGCCATCTCCTTCGTCGCCGCTAAGGCCCGGGCGAAGGAGTTCAGTGAATGACTGCTCCTACACGTCGCCGCCCGTCCCGCATAGCTCCGTGGCTGCCCACTCCTGCGTCGATCCGCTGCCCAACGACACGGTGCGGGGCCGTCTCTCCTCCTCCTCGTCTGATGAGCCGGGGAGTGGTTGCAAGTGCGGCGGCAATGCCTCATACCCAACCCGCTGGGACGCCCTCCCAACGGTCAATGGGCTTCCTCCGCACCGCCTCCCGCCGACCTGCTCCCCTCCGGACTTGGCGATCGCCTGTCGTGCCTCCGTCCTGCCGTCCTTCATCGAAGACCTTCTTTTGCTTCGACGCCGCAGTACGTTCCCGAGGATACACATGTGGAAGACAACCAAGAGGAGCAGCAACAGGACAACCAGGAGCAGCACCGGCAGCTTGCGGAACACGTCAGCCATGAAACAGTACACTGCGACGGCAGCAGACGGAAGACAACGCGGGCACCAACATAACAGCGAAGTACAATGCTGCCAACGACCGTTCCAACAAACGTAAGGCGTCGTCTTCCGTCACGAATGGCAGTGTGTCATTGGGAGAGACAGCGCGCCTGAAATATTCGTATCTGCCGACCGTTGGGAGAATTCCCGCGGCGTGCCAAACGCGAAAATGCGAGACGACACCTTCTGGACGTCGGGGATGCCGGCAGGCCACAAACGGTAACCGTTGGCGATGAACCCTGTGAAGCCGAACGTTGGCGACCCAACATGTCCGTGGAGATGCAGGCAGGAACAACGATGGACCAGATGGGATCGAAAAATGTCCTCGAGGGAGCTGCCGTCAACGCCCCGATTCTTCTGGAAGCTCGACCTCCAAGGGACCTCGGGAGGTCCCTTAGGGAAATCGCCAAAATGGTTGTAGCCCCGAGGAATCCCCGAGAAAATATTTTCACATTTTCTTTTCGGAATCTTCCCCGAGGATGAGTTGAACGACGATTTCCTTGGGGATTTTCGGGCCCCGAGGAGTGTCGAACGAGCCCCTATAGCTCCAATACCTTTTATACTCGTCTTCGGTACTTCGATGCATCGGTCCTCAGCTGCGCCCTCATTGATCACGAGCTGAACGCATAAGTACCCTACGAAAAAACCCCTAAAGCAAAAAGCAAAAAAAAAACGAACATACTCAGACATTTTCGGCCTCAAGTACCCTCGGGCCGACAGCCTAGACAACTCAAAAGCCATTTCCCCGAAAAACAACGAAAAGCAAAGTCCACCGTATCCGTAGCCGTGGGTGAGTTCACCCCAAAAAATATATATATATGAGTAATTCTCCGCAGTCCAGTGGCGGAGACAGCTATGCCATCGGTGCCGGATGTCAGCACCGGGGTAGCCAGTAACCGTTAAGATCTGAAAAACGTCCAACTCATCCGTAGCCACGGGTGAGTTTACCAAAACAAATTTTTCGAAAATTTCTCATCAATCCAGCAGTTGCACCAGCTATGCCATCCGTGCCTTATGTCAGCACTAGGGTGGCCAGTAGCCGTTAGGAACTAAAAAACGCAGACATAATGCATCCAAGAGCAGGACCACCAGTCCTCCGAGTATCATACCGCCGTTAAGTTGTCGACCATTTGCCGGATTCGTCCCATGGCCTATCATCATGCCTCCGTTTCATCCATTTCAACCCGGCCTCAATTGTGCAGGCTGGGATACTAAGCCTCCTTAGTTCTTCATTCAGAGTGAGCACATTCAGGCAGAGGAGACCACAGTCATTCGTGTTCGTTGAGATTCACTGGAGGATATTTTACTACTTGCAATTGTAGCAAATTTCGCAACCTTAATGCCGAACGAGGAAAAATCCTTGTAAGTGCAAAATGGCAGGGGTTGCTCCCCCAGATATCAGATGCATTTTTGAATTTATGGGTAGTTAAGATAGATGCCCTTGTATCTGAGATTATCAACCTGGTTTCCAGAAAATCAAGGATCCCGACACCCGGGTCGGTCCGAACAAGCTTCAGGCCCGGGGGGTAGCAGTTTCAATTTTATCCAAGCTTTGTTCGGCCTTCAATAGCCCCTCAGGATCACTTCTTGAAAAGGAGGCCATGATCAACAGATCATCAATATATCTTTTCCCCATGATGTATTTCCCATCAGCACCCAGAGTACTCACAAACTGAAATTCAGCAAACATACATAACACACAGGCGAGGGCCGGGCTGGCACGTCCGCCCATGGGTATGCCACATTTCTGCCGCAGGATTTGGTCGGAAGCTACGAAAAAAGTGTTCTCCAACTGGAAAACGGTTAGTGTGATCAGTAGCTGAAGTCTTCTGATTTCCAGCCTGACTCACCTTGCGACTTACAGAACGCAGCCACTTTCCCACGGGTCTTAACTCGAATCCATTTGATGCCCTTGCTCAAAAACTGCCCAGTCGCCCATTCCACTGCCTTACAAATCTCCCAGTGGGGCAGCTGAGTAAACATCTCCTTGATGTCGTAAGTCCGGGCGGTGATACCACGGTCCGATACGCCACCAAGTCGATTTACTCTGTCGATCTCACTCCTCATCAAGTTCATAGACTGTAAATTGAAGTGTGGTACGTTAGCCTTCTTTATCAGATAATTCAAGGAGGTGGACAAAATCCCAGAAGCCGACCTGAATGGGCTTGCGTACGACGGCACAATTGGCCGCTTTTTTTACTTGTCTTTCTCCTTAGTGACAACGTAGGCATGCTGGAGGTCACCATGGGGGTCCCACTTGACGACTGTCCCCAGCCGTAGTTCATCGTACCTATCTTTCATAGTCTTTAAGATAAGATCCTTCCTTACGTCAGCAGGTTCATAATTCTCATTTTCCAGGTGCATCTTCCTCAGACTGGCTTCGTACGCCATGGGGCACTCAACCCAAGTTTCACTTGTGTTCCGGTCGAGTGGAGACATGACTAACCCACCCAGTGCTTGTTTGACACCCAAAACATACTCAGACCGCATGCAATCCTTCTCCATGCTTTCCCCACTCCTGCAGACCCGCATCCAGTTGATGTTCATACATTCAGATATCAGATTCATATTCCGCAAACACTCAAGTCCTTAGTTACAAGCATAGTTTCGGACCTCTTTGCAAGCCACCGTCCCGGGGAACGATAAATTCTTAGAGTTAAACAGGAATGGGTGTATCTCCCCAATGTCACTGATCTTGACTGAGACGTGCCCATCAACTTTGGGCAGGTCGAAGTCGGCACATCCGCACTCGAAGGAGCAGAGTTGTGCGTACGACTTATGATTATGCAGAAGAGAACCAACAGATCTAGCTTTGAGCCAGACCGCTCGTGTCCTCTTGGCATATAGGTCAGCTAGCGACAGCGGGGAGACATGGCACCGAATCCCGCTCTTGACTTCATTTTCCACTTTAACTTTATTTACAGTTGTGCAAAACGGAATCTTTATCTCAATATTTAATCTAGGATTCACTCCAAACTTGTTTTTGAAGACGTTAGTGAGAATTCCCCGTATAATTTGCCTAGCGTGTTGTTGATTTAAGGATTTTACACCGTTATTTAATTCAATCAGTTCGTCAAGAGTCAAGCGGAATAAGTCTTTACGTTTCCACGAAGCCCTGAGCAGAGCGATGAGCTCAGCCTTCCGTTGCTCCGTTCTTGTAACTGTTCGCCGCAATTCAGTGATCGACCACACTCTCCGCATTCAATTTAGGTTTTAGCATCACTGAGCAGCATCTTAACCCCGTTTACATCGACCTTTGAAAACCCATACAAGACAGGCACCAGCCGTCAAGCTTTCAGCCAATGTCCACCGCAGTTATTAGCGATCTTAATCGGGTTAGCGATCTTAATCGGGTTTTTTATCTTTCGTTTTTGTAACATCTTCATAATATTAAGTAAATCAGGCTCTCTTTTAACACTAATACACTCACAATAAAAAAACAAAGGTTCGATAATGTTCATAACAGAAAATCCAAATTCTTTCTTAACCTTCTTCCTGTGTCTGCGAGCTTTTTGCTTGCCTTTTTTACCCCTTGCATTTAAACCTGGATTGTTACTTTTTATAATTGCTCTCTCCATTTCCTCGCTGATAGTCCCTTCCCCAAACCCAATCGGGATCGGAACGTAGTGACCAACACCGACTTTGCGAAGCCAGCTATGAACCTTCTGCTTACTGACGCCTTTTGTTGCTCGTATGTGCTCAGCCCAACGTTCCTTGAGCACAGGTGTGGTTTTTCCAACATATACCAAGCGATGGTTGAGAGACATTAAGACATAAACGCAGTTAGATGCAAGCAACATTTTATCCCATTCGCAGGCGGAAAACCTGAGTCAAAACTTAACATATGCTTTCCCCCAGGCGATGTCACCCCTTAGGCAAGCGAGTAAGATAATCAGGAGATGGATCCTATCAAGGATCAGGGCCACATGAATATCCACACTATCCTTCAGCCGCAGGATATGCTGAGTCGCTCGTTGCAGGGAGCGAGGGCTACCCAGCCTCAGTTTCCCGTAACGACATTGACTTCGGTAACTGACGCGCCGTCGGCACTGTCGGCGTTCACCGGAAGATCGGTGGTCTTCCGAGATGGTTCACCTTTCGCAGTAGGACGGTCTTCGCTGATGGAGTCATCATACTCCTGAAGGTCGATGCGTGCCAATTCCCACGCACCCGGCTCCTTTCGAAAGTACTAGATATCTTTTTGTTTCCAAAGCTCTTGAATGCGAGTATAGTGTAGCGAAGTATAGAATTYGAGTCGCAGTTTCATGTAGGCCGCCATCCCACCTTCGTCAGCTTCTTCCTCTTCATCATCCGTCTTGACGTGCTGGCCGTTCTGAGCTAGATCGATATCCTCTAAGTCCTCAGCAGGTATGTGTTGGTTGGTCACAGGCTCCATGGCAGGGCCCTTCCCTTTGCGGTCACCAACCTCTTGCACTAGAGAGACGAGGAGTTTCTTGATATCGGCTAGATCACTATTAYTATCCAGTTTCGCCTGCAGATTCTGTTTAACATCAGCMTTGCCRCTATCATCRTCGGACAAGTCGATCCGCTTGGATCGGGACTTGTTCTTCGCACTRGCGYGAGTACGTGGCTTGGCMYGGCTGGCCGGAGGGGATGCTTCCGCGGGAGTCCGCTCGCCACTCCTCTTCCGCTTCTCGCTGCTGAATGCCTCCTTACTTTCTTTCTCAGATYTAGCCTTCTCCTCCCTAAGTGTCTCAAGTTCTAGCTTCTCATCATCTGCAAGCTTCGACCGTTTGTCTACCGGCTCAAGCTTATCAGAGATGAGTTTGAGGGAATTACCCAAGGTGGCTRTAACCCAAGCTTTCATTTCCTCAGCCTTATCTGCAGGCTGCTCAACTTGGTTCCTAGGATGTGAGACAAGGTTCCTAGGTTCATCAGTCAAATCAACAATCCTGATACCGGCGCCAGACCGTCTACCCCCCGCTACCTTCTTCTTAGCATCCTCGAGTGCTTTCTTGCATTTAATCCCTTCTAGTATATCCATATATTCTTTGGTAAAATAGGCTCGGTTCCCGGGTCCAGGAAAGGCGTTCGCAGCCGGGCCTTTCCTGTTCCCGCTCTGTGACGGTCGATCAACCCCTTGGCCTTGATTACTCTGTTGAAGGGCAGGCGGTTGAGGAATACTC